GGGATTTCCCGCGATTATCGTAAGGTGTGTGGGGACTTTAAGCCACTAGTGAGGATGGAGTCTCCGCCCGCAGTCACCGGCACACACTTGAAAAGATCTTTAAAGTATTGATATGTTTATTCAATACCAGATGTCACATACTGTCATACGGTGCTATCGTTTCGGGTCCGCACGGGGGTCCTTCACTGTCGCTCTAATGAAGGATCCCCGTGCGGACCAGAAACGTTAGCACCGTATGACAGTATGTGACATCTGGTATTGAATAAACATATCAATACTTTAAAGATCTTTTCAAGTGTGTGCCGGTGAAATACCTTCATTTATCACTAGTGTTTGCACGGCGTCATCCGTGTGGTCAACTTGACCACCAAATATACCTTGTGGACTTTTGAGACCGGGGGCAGTGTGGAATGGGATTTGGACTTCGATGTACCACAGGTGGACTCCAACAAGGTGCAGAAACATCTCGGGAACGATCAAGAGAAATGGGAGGCAGCTGAGCTAAATTTCAAGCGTTTGTTGCAAAGGGTGTGAATACTTATGCCAATGCGATATTTCAGTTTTTCCATTTTCATATATTTGCAAACATTTTTAAAATTCTGTTTTCACTTTGTCATTACGGGGTACTGAGTGTAATTAATGAGGGAAAAAGGAATTTACACAACTGTAGTCTCAGGCTGCAACATAACAAAATGGAGGAAAGTGAAGGGGGTCTGAATACTTCCTGAATGCACTGTGTATATAGTATTGGGGCGTGTCAATTTTACAACTTAGTGTCACTTTGTTTAGGTAAAAACATCCATGATGAAGAGGATGATACCAGTAAGTGGCGTTGGTTTTTTTTTTTACCGAGTGGTGGTGGGTCAGTCATTGGCAAAACAATTTTGTGTTACACGGTGTTGTACCAATATGCTAAAGCTGAACTCCCGCCACAAAAACGTTTACTCAAATATAATCTTCTATATTATCCTCCATAAAGGATGTACGATCACTTGTAAACCTAGTTATTACCTTGAAAGGTAGCAGTGACAACATCACTGTGCTTCACATAGCTTTGGGAGGGGCCCAGGAGCTCAACCCACGACAGTCTGTTTGCTGAAAAGTACAGGAGGGGGCGGAGACAAGACCAGTCACCCTCACAAAGAGAGAGAGCAACAGTGACTGGTCTTTATTACAGGAGGGGGTGGAGACAAGACCAGTCACCCTCACAAAGAGAGAGAGCAACAGTGACTGGTCTTTATTACAGGAGGGGGTGGAGACAAGACCAGTCACCCTCACAAAGAGAGAGAGCAACAGTGACTGGTCTTTATTACAGGAGGGGGTGGAGACAAGACCAGTCACCCTCACAAAGAGAGAGAGCAACAGTGACTGGTCTTTATTACAGGAGGGGGTGGAGACAAGACCAGTCACCCTCACAAAGAGAGAGAGCAACAGTGACTGGTCTTTATTACAGGAGGGGGTGGAGACAAGACCAGTCACCCTCACAAAGAGAGAGAGCAACAGTGACTGGTCTTTATTACAGGAGGGGGTGGAGACAAGACCAGTCACCCTCACAAAGAGAGAGAGCAACAGTGACTGGTCTTTATTACAGGAGGGGGTGGAGACAAGACCAGTCACCCTCACAAAGAGAGAGAGCAACAGTGACTGGTCTTTATTACAGGAGGGGGTGGAGACAAGACCAGTCACCCTCACAAAGAGAGAGAGCAGCAGTGACTGGTCTTTATTACAGGAAGCTCCTGCACAGATGTGGGAGAAGCACACAAAGATTGCAGGAAGAATACAGATGGACCTTCTATGAGGACAATATTTGGGTATCCCAGAGTTCAGCTTTAGTCAAAAAAATCATAAACAGCAGCACAGGGCAACTGAAGAGCTCTGCTACTCGCCTCTCTGGGGCCTTGGCTGGTTTCAGCATTCAACACTCCTTGGAGCATCGGATGTCTGTGTTCCCAGGTGTACACATGGAGTCTATGCTACAGCCCCTATATCACTGATGTGGTCAGTGGAGCCATAGGGGTTGGAGGAAGCATGTGGAAGGGGACACGGGTATAGGACACTCCTACTGAAGACATTGGCAGGGACTGTATCTTTGGAACAGGGGAGGTAGGAGACCTGGTTCATTGGAGATGACCGTATCATAGGTCTTTGCAGGGTGCTGCTGTTTTTGATTATATGGCAGGTGGAAAGGGTTGCTTTCATTGGGTGGAACTGTATAGAAATGGAAGAATTGCACAAAAGACACTCGTTTGCCTTCAAGGATTTTACTCTACTTTTTTCATAGTCACTACTGACCTCTAATGGACAGTCACATTACACTCGGGGGCACATTATTCCCACATGTTGTGAAATGAATGTTTTTGTATAGAATAGGGGTGTGCAACTTTGGCACCCCAGCTGTGGTGGAACTACTTCCCCTTGAGGCATTGCAAAACTGACAGTCACAACCAAGACTTCCAGAGGCAGAAGCATGTTGGGATTTGTAGTTAAAGCACAGCTGGAGGGCCGGAGTTGCCCACCCCTGGTATAGAACATACCTAATTGCTTCATTGCAACCAAGTTTCTGACAAATACAATATAAAAAAATAATAAATGTTCACTGATTATTTTTTGCAACCGAGACCAGTAGGCCAGGAACAATGCTCTGGATCCTGCAGACTCTTCTAGGGCTGCAACAACTAATCGACATAATCGATTATAATCGATTATTGAAAAAGTTGTCAACTTTTTCAATAATCGATTAATCGGCTTCTGATCAGTTGGCCCTGTTCACGGCTCCACACACGCTGCGCGCCGCACCTCCTCCACACCTCACGCTCGCCACTGCCAGACCCGCCCGCCAGCATCCACGCTCTTCACACCGCACCTCCTCCCCTCCTCACACTCACCGCCCGCCCGCGGGGAGATGTAATAAGGAGGAGCAGGTGTGGACGGATGACAGCCGCTGATAGGTCCGATCTCAGAAGCAAGTTGCTGGAAGACTGCTCAGGTAAGCCTGCACTTTCCCGCACATGGTGCTCTATAATGTATTGCTGGGATTTGTATTCCTCTATAGCTGATGGTACATTGTGCTCTGTATTATATAGAGCAATGTACCATCAGCTATAGAGGAATACAAATCCCAGCAATACATTATACACTGTATGTATAATGTATTGCTGGGATTTGTTGTACTCCTATATAGCTGGTGATATTCTGCACTGAGCTGTATAGAGGACTACAAATCCCAGCAATAATACATTATACAGCGCAATGCGGAATACCACAAGCTATAGAGGAGTACAACAAATCCCAGCAATAGTACATTATACAGTGGTGCAATGCCGAATACCACCAGCTATAGAGGACTACAAAACCCAGCAACAGTACATTATACAGCGCAATGCAGAATACCGCCAGCTATAATGTACTATTGCTGGGATGTGTAGTCCTCTATAGTCGGTGCCATTCTGCATGCATTGCTGTATAATTTTACACTTTCCTTTTCACTATATTGCACACCACTATTTTTTTTTTCTTTTCTTTTCTACTTCTACAAGCTTGCTCCTGTGATGAAGTGCAATCTCAATACAAACTAGTAGTCCATCACTGGAGCCATTTTTAAAAATGTATTTTATTGTTTATCCGATTAACCGATTAATCGAACTTAATAATCGGCTAACTAATCGATTTTGAAAATAATCGTTAGCTGCAGCTCTAGACTCTTCTTCCCGTCCATGTCGGTACCTGGGTTCGGGCATTCAGTAACATGGACGGGAAGGAAAATAAATAGACTACACGTGTGTAACGTCACCGCACTTGTATTCTATTGAGAATCATAAGTCTTTCTGCTGTGTTAGCTGATGGGACTTGTAGTTGATGAATGGGTGAAGAGGCTGTGTGGGCGGAGCCACGCACAGCCGCCCTGAATTCAGAATACAGCATCACCCTGCCGTCCAGGTAAGTGGAGGGTGCCAATGTGCCCATGCTTCATGTTATGGGTGTAATATGGTCCAGGCGTTTAGCTTAGCCGAGCTCAACCTAACTATGTTTTATTTGTGTGCAGTGAACGTGGCGGCCAACTCTCTTCTAAACAAGCTGATCCATAAAACGTTGGTGGAATCGACTCACATTGTCGAGGTCTTACAGAGAGATCCCACATCCCCTTTATACTCAGTGAAGACTTTTGAGGAGCTTCACCTGTAAGTAGTTAGAATGCCTTGTCCATGTATAGATGTTTACATTTGTTTTGCTTCTTAATCACATCCAAAGGCTCATCCAGATATACCGCACAGAACCAGGCGATAAGCTGCCCTTGCTTTCTGCCTTATTGCCTTTTCCTCTGCTTAGAAAGGTGAGTTGAAGTCTTTAGTAGCCACCTCGATAACCAGTATCCTTAGCTGTATGGCCAGGAAGTCCCAGAAGCTTAATCTCCAAATCCACACTCCCTTCTTCACACCCTGTGTATTGTGATGGTCCTATTCGGATCGTCTTCTGGTGGTGGATGGTCCTCAAACAAGCAGAGATTGATGACTTGATGATGCCAATGCAGCTCTGTCCATCATTACATTGTTAGTGTAGGGTGCAGTGCTTACGCCCAAGCAGGGCGGGTCCATGACGTCCTTCACTTACAGTATGTCCTCAGTCTTCTGGGTTGAATGATGCTGGATGCCATTTAACCTGGAAGACCGAGGACCTCTTGAACCATGAGAGAATTACTGAGCGGGACAGCTTCACATTGAAGCGGAGTACTCCAGCATAAGCTGCATTTTTGTTATTACCTCCTGTTAGACCTTCATTAGAACAATGGCCTTGAGTTGGGTTTTGATGGAAGAACTGGTAGCCTCAAGATGGTCCCAGCTCTTTGCTTCTAGGGAGTGACATATAGGATACTCATCAGCTTTAGAACAGAATTCTCAGGGTTGTCTTCCCGAAATGGAGCAGATGGAGTAAACTGAGCTGAGCAGCTCAACAGATGCAAACCTTCTCATTGCTTGTTTCCCTCCAGAAAACCAGAACTGCTTAAAGGAGTGTATGCAATGGGATTCAACAGGCCATCGAAGATCCAAGAAACTGCATTGCCTTTGATGCTTGCACATCCGTAAGTTCAAATGATCAAATATTTTCTAACAACTGTCCACCCATCTCCTTCAGCTGCCAGTAAAAATCCTACTATAGCTACTACAGCTCTGTTACACCAACTATTGATATGGATAAAGACCAATTGGGAAGCTGCTTCCTTTTTAGACTGGCCATAGACAAACCTATCGCCCTGTGAATGATGGACAGGAACCTGCCGCCTCTTAAATGGTGTGATGGCTGAACATGGTTGTCCAGACCAACTAGACTCTCCCTTTCATTCTTCTTGCACTACCCCTAGATCAGGGGGATCCCTGTTACAGAACTACAATTCCCATAAGACATTGCAAGACTGGCAGCCACATGCATGGCTTCCCTAGGCAGATGCATGATGGGATTTGTATTGTCACCGCAGCTGGAGGGCCAAAGTTTGGCTACCCCTGCCCTGGATGGTAAAGAGTATCTGGCAAAAGCTGGGGCTGGATTCTTCTGTGAGAATAATCCCCATTCATTTGTCTTTGCAGCCCACAGAATCTAATCGCTCAGAGCCAATCTGGCACCGGAAAAACTGCCGCTTTTGTCCTCGCCATTCTCAGCAGAGTAGACCCCCTGAAAAAATTCCCACAGGTAAGTATGTGAGATGTTTTTTTTACCCTGAGGTTTAGTCCTGGGGCTAAAATATATTAAAGTTCCATCTCATGGTATTGGGTTTGTTGTTACCCAATTGTTTGCGGGATGCTGCTGTGTTTATGTTCTTGGCATTTGTTACAGATTGGATTTGGCTATAAAGCCCCCAAATGTAACATATTTTTATTTATCTTTTTCAGTCCCAAAAGTTTTTACAAAATGCTTTCAGGGGACCTCTTTGGGCATGTTTTAAAACCCAATTGAACCCTTAGTTTAAAGCTGGCCATACACCCTGCAGATTTTCTGTGGTCAGATGGAAAGAAAATGTGCAACAGATTCCTCCATCTAGGCTACACTGTGTGGATGGAGGAATCTCCCGCCGGGCCAACTTCAGTATCTTGCTACTCATCCCCGCTGGCTGTCAAAATACCTGAACAGTCTGATTGGACGCAGGCATTGTTCAGGTATTTTTATAGCCAGCGGGGCCGACTAGCAAGATACTGAAGCTTGGCCCAGCGGTAGATTCCTCCATCCACACAGTTTAGCGTAGATGGAGGATTCCGTTGCACTTTTTCCATCTGACCATAGAAAGTCTCTAGGTGTGTGGCCAGCCTAACTGCTAAATCTATTCCAGGTGCATCAAAATAATTTTATTTCTAAAGCAGCCACAGCATGAGTAGAAATCCCTGTCCCCGGCCAGCAGCTGTAGAGTGGGACCCTTGCTCTCTGTGTGGAAGCAGTGGTCCCGTTGCAGAGGTCTAACATATCCCCTATTGAGTCAGTCAGATCTTTTCAATCAGCAGGGACTCTGCTAATTGCCGTGGGGCGGAGTTATGAGACCACTGCTTCCCTGCAGAGAGGAAGGTTCTTTCACAGCAGCTGCTGGCAAGGGGCTGGCTTTTCTACTCTGTGGCTGCTTTTAAAAGTAACCAAACTGTAAGACATTGAACACCTTTATGTTTTGATGCACCACCATGTTGGGGTGGACGCTGGTTTGCTTCTGGAGGCAAACCTATTTTCTTTTGTAGATGACCAACATAAACTGCATTGTGTTATATCCAGCAACAGAACTCGTACTGTGCATCTAACCTTATATTATAAAAGTGCTGATGACAAGTTTTCCTCTTCCCTCTCAGTGCATCTGTCTCAGCCCTACCTTCGAGCTGGCTTTGCAGACGGGACAAGTGATTGAACAGATGGGAAAGTTCTGTGATGGCATTGAAGTTGTCTATGCCATACGTGGAAACAGACGTATGTTTTAATATAACGTGTGCATGTACATATGAGGTGTATGTATGTGTGTGTGTGTGTGTATATGTATGTATATGTATGTATATATATATA